CTGTGCCAAAAATGGGTTGAATTGGATCAATAATTCCCACAGTGTAATGATTTTCCCTATTCTAACAAACCTTATGCCGATTATGTCGGCCGGCTTGAAAATGTGTTCTTGAGAAATGATAATGAGCAATGTCAAAGGCTAATGCAACAAGACTTGACCTTTCTCTGTCCGCAATATATCCTATATAGTGATTTCCGACTTTTCAGCTGACTTTAACCCATTTTGGTTGGTAGAAATATGTGATATTTTCAAGAAATTAAGTGGACAATTTATGTGGTTTATATCCCATTTGAAGATGATTTTAATATAATTTTATCTAACGCGAAGTTAAATGTAGTAACAAAACTAACTAACTACTCAATATAAGTTAATGAGAAACCGAATTTAATTGTAATCTTTTCACGACTTCGTCGATTAATGAATGTTGAATTCTTTCTCAACATTTATTAATATACATAAAGTTTTGCCAATATCTCAACGTATTTTCGAACCTAGCCTTCCTTACTTGTTTCCTTTTAATAATATATATTAATGCCAAAAATAGTTAGAATCGGGTCAATACTACCACTATCTACCATATACCGTATATAAGCTTTTCAAACTTCGGGTTGGCTTTATTTTGTACATATGGGCCAATATGTAAGATATGTATTTAGCAAAATTAACTGAACGCATAATATTGGATATGCTATGGTCGGAGCGACGCCAACTTTTCAGCCCACAGGTGGCCCTGCCATGCTCTGCACCAATTTGAAGCTTAAAAATGGCACTTTCTATGTTTTGTTTAATGGAATTTAGTGTACGAGACAATAGTCCGATTACGCCCATTTGCTATACCGACCTACCCATTGTCAATTTTTACTCAAGTCATCGCTTGCACAGATGTACGGACTGAACCCCATAATGAACTAAACTACGAGCATGTCACTGTTCTTATTTCAGTCAAATCGGAGCTTATTAAAATTAACCTGAAATCAAAGTAATAAATTAAGTAAAAAGTATTTAATATAAAATATACATAGAAGGTACTTAATTTTGCATTCATTTAATAGATATAAATGTACAATGTTTTTTAGATTTCTGCATCCACTGGACGAATGTTCAAATGGAATTTTAATTAAAACAATAAACATATGCAAAACTGAAACCAGGTCACCAGGGGTTTCATGCAGCGTTGGCTTGAATCATGTGAGCAATGCGGGCAGAGAATCGGCGGGCAGCAAGTGTTGCGCGTAAGCGTGCTTGATTATATTCGAGTGTGAAAGTAGTTAATTATAAACATTAGGGGGTTGCCAAAGAACAAAACGCACCTAAAAAGGTGCACAAATGGAAAGGAAGGCACACACACACAAAAATATGTGGTACTTTTGACATTTTGGGGTACTACTGTTTCTGTTTCGCCATTTAAGAACAGAGAATGAACTAACAAAAGCAACATGTAAAATAGCGACCAGCTGGTAGCCACAATGGCGCGGAAAAGGACAGTAAAAGTAATAAAAATATATCAACAAAGGTTACAAAAAAGTATGTTATTTTCCCTGGTGAAGAAGTTGCAGCTAACCACTTCGAAGTGGCAAGAATCGCTTCGGCGCGGCGTTGACTCGGAAGCCAAGACGGCTTCGCCAGTCTGGTGGCTGAATGGGTGAGTTAAGTAGTGGCTCAGCATGGGGCTAAGCCGATCATAATTCTTGTTTGCCAGACAGACAAACAGACAAATAGTGAAGCTACAAACGATCCTAAAGCCACTTCCAAATCATATTCCAAATCGTTGCATACATCTCTTGCATTTGTGTGGAACCTAATTGTTTTTCCTCCTTTTTGGTGGGCTCATTTCTTTACCAATCATTTTTCTACCCACCTTTACTGCCCTGTCTTTGAGTGTCCAATACATGACTATTGTTATTCTTATTGTTGCTTTTGTTTTCTAGAAAATATTTGCTCATGTGTCAAGTGGCAGCAGACAATTTGCTCCCACTGCGTTCCTATAAGTTAGTTAGTAGTTGCCGTCGGTCAAAACCTGCTGACTGTTCGTTTCTTATCCGTCTGCGACTGCTGCATTTGCGCGTCATATTTACATGTTAATGTAATTTAGCTGTGCGCTATAAATTTCATACATTGATATCTATTACTGTTCAACTCGTGTTACCGGATTAATAAAACTATGGACGCAAAAAAGAGTTTTACATACATAGATGAGCAACGGGGCGCAGACGCGTCTGAACGCGTGAGCTCTCTGCGTGAGTGGAGAAAACCGCCATGGCGTATTTGAATGGAGATTGCGGGTAGACGTCTTGGAACCAAACCAAATCATTATACCCGATTAAATTGATCGATTTTTTTCAACTTTTTAATTCTGTTAATGCTATGAAAGAGAGTATGAATGAATAGGAGAGTTTTGTGCGGTGGCATTGTTTGCATAAGTGAAATAGGATTTCTGTTAGTAAGGTTATTTGTTAATAAAGTAACATTTACCGTTTACAATATCCGATTTCGAATTTAACCCCGTTAGATTGCCCCTTTCCAACTGGCTGCTAAATTAATTGCATTCATAGTGTTTTGTAGAGAGTGCGCGTGAGCGAATGAGAATGTTCAAAAACGGAAGTTGTGAGTGTAGCCAATTGACTATCCATTGTCAGTGTTAATCAGTGTTCTGTAATGCATTTATAATACTTTGTATTAGATTGGGATGTATACATACATATGTATTTAAATGTAACTGATTGTACAAGTATAGCATCAAAACTTGTTTTTTTGTGAATAAAGTTGGAGATTATCTGAAAGAAAATAGTAATAATGAGAATATAAATGAGTGGTAATCAAGAGTTCGGGTTTACCACCCGTTGTTTAAAAGGCCTTCCGACGTTTGTTGACTTAACAATAGTGATAAATGTAAGTATGAATATCTAATCTAAAATATATTCAGAAACCGAACATCTTCCAAATTTTTTTCATATTTTTTTAGTACTTTGTACCATATACCTACGTATCTATCTACTTCGTCAGTATATTCGTTGCACATACAATGAGAAGAGCGTTTGGTTTGCAATGCACACAAGAGTGTTTTCTCTCAGACAAAATGTCACCGAAGTTAAAAAAAAAGTGTTTTAATCTCTCTTAACAAGTGAGCTTGTGAATGAATATTTTTGTTTTATAAATATTACATTAAAACGGAGCAAATTGAAGTGATTTTTCATCTATTAAATATATGGAGGCTAAAGGAAATATTGATCCGATTCAACCCATTTTTGACATATTGTTATCAGATAAGGATTCTCTTCGAATGTCTATAACATATCTCACAGCTTGACGGATATTTTCGGTAAAATCTTCGGTGTAGACACTGGGGTCCACAAATTCGGTATCTGGGGCTTTTACAGTTTTCGTCCGATTTGGACAATTTTGATAATAAGGTGGCGCACTTCAAAGGCACTATTCGTGCAAAGTCTTATCCCGATACATTAATTGGCACCCCCTGTGCCAAATAACAGTTTTATATCTTAATTTAGTGTTTAATTTGGCACTTTATAGATTTTTGTTTAATTGCGTTTTGTGGGCGTGACAGTGTTCCGATTACGCTTGTCTACGAACTCGTCCTTACTTTTTCGGCACGCATACCAAGTTTCATTAGGATATTTAATTTTTACTCAAGTTACAGAGTGTTATATATAACTCCATATCTATCTACAGGGTGGCTTACGAATCGTGCTACAAGTACACAAAAAAAACCGTAATAACTTTTCTTCTGTGGGAGTAATCGATTTACGCTTTTTTTATTTGGCAGGTTATTATTTAAGTTGTTTAAAAATGAATGCTTGGGATACCGAAAAGAGTGTTTGGATAGTGCAGCGGTACCATTTTTTGCAGTCCGTCATTTCCGTCCAAAGGGAATTCAGCCGGTATTTTGGCGGCACTTCCCCGAGTAGATGGACCAATTTAAGGTTGGTAAACATGTTTGGCAAGAAGACCGGATCATCGAGATCCGTATGTTCGTATGTTCGAGAAACAATCGCGGCTGTCGCCTCGTCAATTCAGGTAAATCCAAGAGTTTCGACTCGAAACTTATCGGCGCGATTTGGAGTTAGCAGACGGTTATTGCAACGGATAATTTATGATGACTTAAATCTGTTTCCGTACAAAGTTCAAAAAACAAGCCGGTTAAACCCTCTAGATTTGCCTATTCGCCGGAATTTCACCAAAAAAAAACATTGAAATGGCCGAAGACGACAATAATTTGATAAATTGCCTATTTATGTCTGATGAGGCCCATTTTGATTCAAACGGAAATGTAAACAAACAAAATTGCCGTATATGGAATGAATCAAATCCATAAATAATCCACGAGATGGAACTTCCCCCAGAACGAGTCGCTGTGTGGTGCGCAGTTTCACCAAGATGTATTGTCGGGCCATACTTCTTTGAAGAAAACGATGTAACAGTAACTGTCAATTTTAATATGTTGAAAAAAAACTATATAAAAATGTAGGAAAATTATTGAGGAAACGCTATTATAACCCTATTTTTCCCTTAAATGTTTTCGGGATCGTTAAGATCTCCAAATATAACTCGAATACAATAAATTAGTTGGAGTATTTATACCATAAGAGCCGTATGTGATATCTTAATCAAGTACTGAAACGAATCTTTTTTTAAATATTTATTGTCAATAAAATGCGGGAACTAGAAAATATTTAATATACATTTGTGATGAATAACGTATTATCAAATCCATCGAGGCTTATAAAGTTAGCGCTGCTGTAATTTTGTAAGTGTAGATATTTAGTCATTATTTGACTGAATAAACAACAATTATTACAGACAAAGAAAGCGTATTTTTTTAAACTTCAGAATATTTGTAAAAGGAGAATTTCAATTCATGAGACTGTAGTTGCATTCTTAGGTACGTGGAGTGGAATGAGCATTACAAGATAACTCTCGAAAAATTACATTATTTATGCATATACAAGAATATGTTTGTTCGAAAATTTCGAATAAGTACTTACCTTAATATTTTAGTCATTTCCAGTTAATCTTTTGTTATCTCCGTAGTGAAACTCAAATCAGTTTTTGTTGCAGCTAAATGCCGTTTCAATATGTTTATAGAGACCGCCTTTTGTTGTGACTCTGGTGCTCTATGAATGTTTATGAATCCATATACACTTGCACAGATATATAGATCAAGCACAGAATATTTTTACAAGCGCAATACGTGTCACTTTAGCGAGGCATTCGAAATTTTTGTTTTTTGTACATACACACATGTGTTATGAATATGAATTTGTATGCTGTTTGTTTGACCATTACACGGGTTAAAAGTAATAAACTTACTGAGAATTTGTATGTGATTTCGTATCGGCTTTGACATAAATTGTATGTATATCAGAGGTTTTATGGTTTCAACAGCAGCTGTCAATCTACAAAATCAGTGGTTTCTACGTCATTGTTGTTGTTGCACTTGATGGCCCAATTTGACACACTCACCTCAACCGAATCGAGGCTCACAGACACAGTCGCATGTATAACTCAGATGCGGCTACTTTGATTCAATTTTGGACTTTGTATTTGCAGCGCATTCCTTCACTAGCATCACATACATATGTGTATATATAAGCAAAAAGCCAATACAACAAGTAACAAATTAACGGTGTAAAATAAACGGTTTTGACGGATGTTATGTTGTATTTAATATTTAGTTTTTGATTTTGTATTGGGGTTTTTATTGTTTTAACCGCCCGTTCACAATTTATTGGTACGATTGGCTTCAGCCTTTTTACGGAATTACTTTTTATGATTAATTTTTTTATTACCACTTATTTTCTTCGATGCAAGTCGAACTATTCATATATGCACATAGATACTAATATTTGTATGTACACAAGTCTCGTATATTTTATTGACTTCGACTCGTTTCACTGACTTTTCGGGACCCTAGCTCCATTGTTTCATTTTATCACTTCAATTTTATGTTTTAATGTTCTTGTGTGTTCTTCTAATAACATGTATTGTCTATGAAATAAATTTATTAATTTTTTTCTTTAATTTATTTTTTAGTCCTGCATTCGAGCATTAGAGCTCTTATCCACATACTCGTCTTCAACAATTTTATTAGGCTGCTATAAAGCATCGGAGTTATAATAAAAAATATATAATATATATTTATAATGATCAGCAGAGTACGCCTCTGGGGTCTCGTCACCTTTAATAGTCTGGCATATATGTAATTTTATTATAACTGACGAATAGCTATGGCTTAGTTGATTGTCTGCCGGTTTAACTTCTTTACCCTGCAAATTACTTTCGAAACCCTTTATAAAAATGCGATAATCATTCATAAATTTGCTCAAACAATAATGTTAATTTTGATATACAAGGTTTTCTAATAAGAGTGTTATGATTTAAAAAAAAAAAAAGATACGAATTGTTAAGCATATTCAAATGCTTTTTTTTTATTTAATATGAAATATTGTACATTCGATACAATTATGTACCGATGATTTCCCCAGAACAAAAATCACACAAAACTGTCAATTTAGGCGAATGTGATGGTTGTTCGTGAATAATTTTGTGGATTTTTTTTTGCACCAGAGTCGACAGCTTTGTTTATTTTCCGCACCACTCAGATGACCATAAATTGGCAAAACCGCACGAAAAGTTGCAATTGGAGAGCGATTACGGTGTTTTTGAGAACATCTTTTTACGATGAAATTGTGAACATTACTCAATACGTATATTTGCTTAAAGAAAAAATTTGCACCTTATTCGAATTACGCAGTAAAAAGGAAACTATTTAAAATAAGTCTAATAAGGGACCCAATTGGAATAAGCTTTTGAACCACCACTATTCAAATAAAACTGGAAAACTCTTAAATAGGTAGCTTTGCTTGAAGCGCATATCTCTTAGTTATTTTTAATAACTCGAACTGAGAAAAGTATTAGTGTTCATTAGGCATTATGTGCTGTTCCTTGAATGGTGGGATTTTCTATCAAAAAGTTAAATTTTCAACGGCTAACTAAAAATAGTTAAATACCCTCACGAAGCACTGAAAGCCTCTGGTGAAAGGAAGTTGCTAAATAACAACAAGGGAAACAGGAAATTATGAAATAAATTCTTCACGAAATAATAACTAAAATAAACACACATTTAAATACCTTGTCTGAGGTCTGTATATATATGAAGGAGGTATATGATCATTGGCGTTCCGAAATGACTTTGTGAGTTTTGTGATGCTTTCGGCTCAATATTGTTTCCAATTAGCTGTCATGCTGAAATCAAGCCACTGAACTTTAAAAAATATCTACTCAGTGCACGCTGTTAGAAAATGGATTTTGAAAAATAAATTTCCAAAGAAATAACGGAAGAAAGCATAGATAATGAAAATGTGCCGTTATCTCATCTGTGATCGCGAAAATGCAAAGACAGAACTTGTTTTTGTTTGTTTTTATAGTATAACATACTATACTACTCAAAGTTCTTTTTATTTAAAATAATATAATTAAGCTAAATTAAAATTAAAGTTATTTTAAGTTTATGCATAAATAATCATTTCTCTTCCATAATTTTGGATGGAATTCCTATTTGCGTTTTAGAGTTGCCGACAACATAGTATATACTTAATAAGTTGCCGATAACATAGTATATACTTATATATTGAAATATGAAATGAATATTTACCATAGAGAAATTTTAGACGTGTGTTGTTTAAGCTCAAGCGGTATGGGAAACTGTCATTTCAATAGAGGAAATAGTACTTTTCTTCAAAGGAAACTGTTACATTCTTAATCGTGGAAGTCGAAAATAAAATTATGCTATACTCAGTATTTTCAATTCAAGTTAGGACTCAGATGATCATAGTCGCTTTAAAAATTTCTTAGTTTGCGCTTACAAAAACTTTAAGAACGATTTCGAGTAAAAGGCTACAAGTAATTCTTTTAAAAATCTTTTGTCCATCAATAACATTTATATTAGACAGATCTAATAAATAAATAATGGTTAAAATACCTATCAAATGCTTCATTGTGGTATTTTATAACATTGCTTCATATTTTTATAGCATTTTTACATAATGCTCCCTTAAAAATGAAATAAGAAATCACCGACGGCAAATCTGACTTCGGTTGAAAACTGTTAATACCATCATTGTTAAACCATTGTCTGTGATGAGATTTTTGGGGTTGCAATTGTTAGCGTTGTACATACGTGGATATTGAAGAAACTCTAATTTCTTATTGGACAATTGATATGTTTTCTAATAAGTATTTTGTTTTCTTATCTACTTCACTGGCGATATTATTTATTTGTATTTGATTATTTGCGGATGGCTTTTAGTTAATTTTGCCATTGCAATAATTAAATACAATTCTTAAAGCGTTTTCGATCAAGTATGTGTACTTATGTATTATACAAGCTTATGAATACACGAGGACATATACATATATATCTATTCCGGATTAAACACAAGGAAATCACTTTAAATAATTTTCCGAAATTTATATATTGTGTCATCCGGTGTAGTGCAGAATTTTATCGTTTTATTCGAATTATTAAACTTATAAAAAACGTTATATATCACACTAGAAACGAACAACGGAACGCGCCAAATTTTGAAATTCGCATCGGCCACGTTTTTAAAACCGCCGCGTGAAACTGGAGCCAATTGAAAAAGTCCCACAACTGAGTTGAACTTTTGTGGAAATTTGGCTAAAGCGTGAAGAGCGCCAAATAACCAAATGAGGCATACAAAAACAACAGCAACAATAATGAAAGCAAACACTCTTAATAAAATCGAAGAAAAAATCGAAAGAGAACAAACGACACGGGCCAAAACAATTGCACAGATACGCAAAAGAAGTCCGAATCCAATCCGATCTAGTTCAACACTCCAATACGAGTGCGAGTTAGTAGAATGCCACAACGCCAACAATAATATACAGCAGAAGAAAAAAGCACACAGACACAACGAATACAGCAATGTTTGGGGATATGTAAATGGCGTTGGAGTTATGCGCTGTTTGTTGTGTCTGACGGCAGTGGGGATGGCATTGAGCGAGCAACGACGACGACTACATCACTGGCAACGAAGGCGAAGTTGGATTTACGAATCGCAAATGCGAGTGTAAACCTCATCCCCACAGTAAATATATACTTCATACATACACATATATTTGTACAATCATATGCAGTGCATGTATGGTTGTATGTTGGTGGAGTCTGTTCAAAGTCGCCCCAACTAAAGCTGATTGGAAAACTGTATAAGCACCTAAACAGAAATTCATATTGGTTTGTTGTTAGGAATTGTTTTAAAGGTGAATGGGTAGCCTATGGCATATTTACTTACATATGTGTGTATGTTAATGTTATTTGTACATAAGTAAAAAATAAAATATGATAATTTACATGCGATCTATTTATGTAATATATGTATATTGAATTGCTGACATATACACATACATATGTTCATATGTATGGAATATCGCATACAGCGGTAAAAACGTTTTAATTCGTCTACTTGTATTAACTTCGAACTTATTTACATACATACATATAAACATATATGTACGTGTGTATCAAGTATTTGATCTATTGAAAAAATATGTGTTTAGTTTAACATTTTTGGACAATTATAAAGTATAATAGTTAATTAATTCTTTATGACAAGAATATGTTTTAATCGTCATATACACCAAAACCCATCTCATTCATATAAAAATGGCCAGTATGCTTTCATAGCTCCATTTAGACAACAAATGTTGACTAGAAAAGCAAAGCGATAATATAGAATACTAGCTGTGTGTAAATACCGAAATGTTTATATAAAGAAGTGGTAAGAGTTTCTTCCCTACTGACATTGGTGGTGTTTTGTTATTGTTGCAAAGGTGTGTACACTAGACGTTGTTAGCCATATTGCTGGTTGCTGTGCTGCCACAAGGCATCGAAATGCCGCCCCAAAAATGCAGTAATATATATACATAACGACCACACATACATGCACTTAGAACAATTTTGGATTTTTGTTTCATATTTTCTGATATCAAATGTGAAGTAAGAAGTTTAAGTGGAAGTTTTCTGTAACATTTGTATACATACAGAATTTTCATATACAGTATGTGCATTTATATAGCCACATGCGAAGAATTTGAAAATAACCCGCAATTTTGGTTTTACACCATTTCCCAAGAAATAAATTTTTGCACCGAAACTAGTTTTGCAGTATTCTTCTATAAATAGTGTACTTGGACATAATTTGACTAGTCTTCTGCCGTTGTAATATAATTTTAAGGAAAAGTATAATTTGTAGAGAACTCATCCCCTCGAGCTTTTGTTTAAATATATTCTTTAATATGATAAAACGGAATACTGTAGCCGTTGAGATATTTTTGTTTTAATAATGTGGAAGTTCTTGATTTACTAATTACTTTATATACCGTTTTTTAAATCTTGGAAAAATTAAAGAATGTGGCATGTCTCATTTTTAAATCACATCCATTTGTGTATTTTAAATATATTTGAAAATTCAAATTCAAACAAAGTTCGCAATATGATACATATAAGAATGTAGTAAAATTTGTCGAGCTTACATATAAACTTTCAAATTTAGCTTTATGTGCCTCGAAATATTAATACACTAAGCATCTTCTCGCTGTAATTTTAAACTTTTCTTAACCTTTATAAGGAATATTTTTTTCAAATGAATGATAAATGAGTTTTTACACTGTCACCGCTGCCTTGCCTTAATTCATCTATTAATTAAGTACATATATGTATTTACTTATAATTCATCAACAATATGCGACAACAATTTATGTATGGTGTTGGCCCACGCGAAAAATAGTTTAGTACCATAACATTCATGATTTTACAGCGACATAAGCTAAAATTATTGCTGTTAAATTGCTTTAGAAATATTATATTAAAATCAATTACTAAGCCTAGAATTTATTTTTTTGTAACAAAAATTGGATTTTTCAACATCACTATGGGCAATATACAAGTATCTCTATATATTGTGTGTGCTTTTATTTTTTGGAAAATTTTAATATGTTCGAAAATTGTTGAGTTTTTGAAAAACCAAAAAAAAAAAAGAATTTAAAATATTATTTTGTTGAAGAAAATACATTGGCTAGCGTTTTGGAGTATATAGGCAACCACAAACCGGCAAATACACATATTTTACTTACGACTTAACATAAATTGAGCTATTGACACGTCCTGATGCGAGTATTTACATATATAAATGAAACAAACGACTAAACGACTTACAAATCCTAAGCACAGTTGAGAAGAATGAGTAATAAAAGCATTCTTATCATATTATTTAGATTTTGTGATATTGGACATTGGAAAGACCTTTGAATCGAAAAAAGTGAATGCGAAAGCGCTGTGTTGATTATTAAAAATTTTATGATTGCATGCGATTTAAATATAATAAAGAAAGTGTAGCGGTTTTTTAAGGATATAAAAAATGGCGAATATTATTTTTAATTAAGTTCGGTGGTTAATTTCATGAAGGCATTAATATTCATATTGGCAATTGAATGCGTCCATATTTGTCACTTGAAATCAACTTTTGTTAAATACGCAATACTTATTTTTAGCTGGTAGATTATGTTTGTTTTCATTCATTGAAATACAAAAACTTTCCAACATATTCCTATATACAAATATAATGCAAATATTTCACATTACTTTTTAACGGCCCTTTTTAATTTTTAAATAGGTGCACAACTGAGGAATACAGAGAAGTTTAAAATCAAGTTCTAAGAAATCCTCCAACTACAAGAAAATTCAGTATATATAGTATTAATTTGGAGGTATACTTTTATATGTACATAGGTTACCTCGACTTAGGTATTTAGGTATATTAAATTTTAAAGTTAAAAAGTTTACTTGAACTTATTTAAATCTTGCATCTAAGACAACACTGTAGATGATTCTGCTACAAAATATGCGTTTGTAAAACTTTTGTAATTATTTGATAAAAATCAATTAACTTCCTTTTTGAATCGGCAAAATTTTCGAGAGTTTAAGTAAATATTGACTTAATTCGAACGACTAGAAGTGAATTCGCGTCCAGACGCGCGCGTCAACAAATCAAACTGAAGGGGAGATTAGAGAAAATATGCAACCATTCATACGAATATGTATGCTATTTAACTCATATGTACACCTCTATGTAAATGAATACCATTGCATTTGAGACGATTGAGAATGTGAACAAGCAAATAATGCCATGTTAAGGTGTGAACATGTTGGCAAGTTCGCCCAGGAGGATGGAAAAGCCAGCGTTGGAGCTTGAATTGAAGCAGAGGTTGAAGTTAGATGAAACTGCCTACTGCAATGAGGGATACAATCGTCGGGTAGCGAAACTGGCACAGAAGTATTGACGTCTGCCGACCAAAAGTGTAATTGACGTTGCGGCGCAGGCAATGAGAAAACTATAACACTCGAATCAAATTGAGAAATTCAGAAAAAGGAATTAAGAAATTGGAATATTTTAGTTAAATGTGCAAACAGCACTTGTGCCCCTACGGTATTCTCATACATGAAATATCTAAAGCAACACAAAGTCTCAATCCAAATACATCTTTCAAAGAAACTGAGAAAATATAGTAACATAAACTGTCAGTAATTGCTCTTCTAGACTGTGTATATGTGATTAATGAGTAAGACAGCCGATTTATACCCAAGCATTCAAGAGAGCGAAACTTGGGAGCTCCAAGCAGGCTTAAACTGTTCATTTGGTTAAAAAATAGTCAGAAGTTACACAAACTACATAATGGCACGCATTTCACTTAAATACCTATTTGTAAGTACTTTCATCAAAATCTGGTCCGACATACACCAGAAGTGGGGCTCACCAATACCAATACACAACCGCCAACATAAGTGCAACCTCGCACATATATTAAAGTGAGCGAATGCAACCAATGTATAACCATGTCCAATGCAAAAAACGCCAATGGTGAACAGCAACAAATATAAAAATATACACACCCCTATTATACACATATATATGTATGTATATAAAACTACTATGATATATTCAGGGGGCAGCGTCGACATCGTATATAATCTAGTGATGGCAACCGCCAACTGTGGCGCAGCAGGTGGCTATACTCAAGAGAAAGAGATAACACTATGACACAAGCATGCCAACAACTGGTATTCGTTGCATTGCGAAGCACTTGTTGCCATCATACCTTCATACACTGAGGCGAAAATTTCGCTGCCGCTCTCAGCCAAATGGGCGTTGCCTTTTGGGGTAAAGTTGGTAAGCAGTTATAATATGTAAAATTTTAGAGGTTTGGTATATTCTGGT